GGGCTGACTTCTTAGCAAGATTGTCTTTAAGCAGTAGGCAGAGTGAGCAGGGAGGAGCCCCGAGCAGGAGTCAGATTCCTGGCTGGGCTGTGGTCCTCGGGAAAGTCACTGCTCTTTTTTGGGCCTCAGTTTCCACATCTGAAAGGGATGGGGCAGGACTAGATGATTTCTTAGGTGCCGCCGGATTTAAAGATCTAGGCTTCGGTGATGGACGAGGGCCAAATCCCCAGGCCAGTTCACTAGCTCCTGGTGACCCCTGCTCTGTGCCGCCCAGTCGATGCCACGCCCTCCCTGCTCAGTTTACCTTATTTTATGATTATTCTCTCCGAGAATGGCACTGCATGCGAACTAAGCTGAACACATCAGCGTAGTCCAGGCTCTGGGCAGGTCTGCTCTGCTCTCTTATGGCAGTTTTTGGTCTTGAAGTCTCTTCCCTGCGAAGCTGTTAGCTCCTGTGGGTGGCCAGTGTCCTCCACTCCCACAGTCCCAGGTGACATGGGCCGCAGGAGGGTGTGCAGGGAGGCCCGTGAATAGACCCAGGCTCCATCCTGGATTTTGCTAGCTAACAATATTAATAACATTTCTAATTTATCGGGGGCCTGCTATGTGCCAGGCACCACATCAGGTGTTACATCGTCTTGTTTGATACAATACCTCTGTGACGCAGCTATTATCCCCCTTCTACAGATGCGAAAACTGAGGTTCAAGGACAGCTCACCTGCTTTAAGTCTTTGCTCAAATCTCTCTTCCTCATTGAGGCCCACCCTAACCCACCCTATTTAAAACGGTATTCTGCCTCTATCCCAGCACTACCAATTTGCCTTAATGCTGCTCCCCCCACGCCCACCCCCAGCACTTATCACTTTCTAACATAACAGTCATGCATCCCTAACAATGGCGACACATTCTGAGAAATGCGTCATCAGGCGATTTCGTCGTTCTGCAAACATCATAGAGTGTACTTACACAAACCTAGATGGCATAGCCCACTACACACCTGGGCTGTCTAGTACTAATCTTCTGGGACCACCACAGTATATGCAGTCTGTCATTGACTGAAACATCCTTATGCAACACACGACTGTATACCTTACTTATTATGTTGTTCAGTGCCTGCCACACATCACCAGGGCAGGATTTGCCAGTGTTGTTCACAGAAGCATATCCCAAGCCACTAGAACAATGCCCAGCTCATAGTAGGTGTCCAATCAATGTGTGCTGAGTGACTACTGGTTGAATAATTTGCCCAGGAGTCAGTTACCTGGAGACTGCACAGCATAAGGCTTCAGAACACAGGCTTTGGAGCCAGACGGTTGCAGGTTTGAGTCACAGCTTTTGCCACTTAACTAGCCGTGTGACCTTGGGTCACTTACTCTTTCTGAGCCTCAGTTTCTTTGGTAATAAAATAGACTAATAGCATTTACCTCACAGGATGGGTGAGGATGAATGGAGACACATATGTAAAGTTCTTGGCATACAGTAGCTGTTCCATAAATGTTAGCTCCTTTGCCCGAGGAGGGTTTTTTTCTCTTCTTGCTTCTCACTTTTCTGTGATGGCCTACCCTTTGACCACTCTGCTGTTCAACAGCAATTCCTTAAGAGGACAAGCAGCTGTAAGAGGGGGTTGGCATTATCTGTGGAATTAACCAGCCCATGCTCTCTCACCCTCCTTCTTCCTCCTTCTAGGATGCGCCTGTTGCTAAGGAGACGCAACATCAGCCCCTGACAGGATGTAGCTGGGGTTCTGGCCCACACCAAAGGAGAGAGATGATGGCTGACCCGGGGAGGGAGGAAGGGGGAGGGAGTCGGCTTGCCTCCTGGGCTGGGAGGCTGGGCGGGGGTACCATTTTGGAACCTGCTGGAAAAACCCAGCTTGTTCCCTGAGAAAATGAACTGTTTGTCCTCCTGTCTCCATGTGGCTCTGGAAAGATGATCAACAGTCCTGTTTGGAGGCTGGAGTCGAGTTCCTGCTTGGGCTGGAGTCCAGTGGCACTGGTCACGGTGTGATGCCCAGGCCCTGGGAGGGGGCCATAGCAGCCAGAGTGACACATAACCAAACTCCTGGCCCTCAGAATGGCACCTCCCCAGAGCAGGGCTGGCAACTGAGTTGATGCTCGAAGAGGCCACGTGGGTGATTCACAGTTCTGCGTCCATGAAAGGGGACTCAACACGGGCACCGCCTTCTCTTCTTGCAGCTTGAACGTCACCGTGGGGAGGCTGTCTCAGATCCCAGGCCCTCCAGGGACTCCATTTCTTCCTTCCCAATCCATCCCTTGACCCTGGGCAGCATGAAAGCTTGTGGCTTTTGTGTAACTAGCTAGGCACCCCAAATGGAGAAGGAAGGGACGGCGGTTAGAGCACAGGCTAGGGGCCGGACTGCCCTGATCAAGTCCTGCCTCCGTCTGTCCCAGCTATGTGACCCCGGACAAACCACTTAGCTTCTCTGTAAAACTGAGATAATTAGAGCACTTTCCTCTTGGGGCTGTTGTGAGGATTACACAAGTTAATTCTTGTAAAGAGTTGAGATCCGACCCAGACACGCCGAGCTCGCTAAATGTAAGCCATTATTGTCATTTTAGGGGGTACATTCCTGGGAAGAGGAGTATTCTTGGGCAGAATAAAAATGGCATTATTATTATTATTATTATTATTGTTATTTGGCTTTTCTTGAAAAATGGGAAGTTCTGGCAGTGCAGGCCCATCTTCCTGCTCTGTTGGAGAGAGTCTGGCTGCCCATTTCAGATGGGGCACATCTCGTCCATTTGCATAATCCCTTCTAGGCCCCTTCCATTATTTGTCAGCCCCCAAAGGCAGTTCCTATTTCTGTTACAAACTCAAGTTCAGCAGAAGCCAACAAAGGTGTCAGGAGCCTGAGCGGGGCCAGGGGACAAAGAAAAGACTGAACTGGCTGTGCTCAGAAGGGGAAGGCAAGGGCTCAGGCTCCAAGGGCCTCAGAGGAAGGGGAGTTGGAAGAAAGAGGGGGATGGGAACCCTGAGGCTGCCCAGCTTGGGTGCGGCTGCATGTCCACCCATCTGTGGCTGGCTGAGCACAGACTAGTAAATGCACTGGGCTGAGCCACTTGGCTCAGAAAGCCTGGACTCCCGGCCCTTCCCACTGGGGAGGCCTTGTTATGTGGGGGCAGGGAATGTTGAGTTGGTTCAGTACCCACCTGTCCTCTGTATCTTTTAGCCTTGTATTTCTTCCAACATAAGCTTCTTGGGGGCAGGGGACTTGACCTCCTCACTGGAGGGATCTTGTCACATTCCTCATGGGACCCAGTGCTTGTCACACAGGAGGTTCTCAGTGAATGCTTGCTGAATAAATATTTGAATGAATGCAGAGAGCTTGCTTCTGGTATAGCAACCCAAGAATTTAGCTAGACTTTCTAGAAAGCCCCTCTGAGTCCCATTCCCATTCCAATGCACTGGGCTTCTCTGTCTGGCTGAAGGAAGGTAGTGTGGGGACAGCAACCATGTCCCCTTCACTTACCATTGTATGCCCAGAGCTTAGCTCAAAACCTGGCACACAGTAGGTGCTCAACCAATATCTGTTGAATGAATGAATGAATTGCATGGGAATCCTTGTCACCCTGGTGTTGGGATACTGTAGTTGTGCTCATAACAGCCGGGGGGATTCTGAACTCCTCTTTGTAACCCATCTGGCCCCACCCACCAAGTAGGGAAAATGACACAAATATACCCTGTCATAAGAAACTCAATGTGCGAGGTTCATGGTTATCACTTATAAGGCATCCTCTGAAGTTTGCTGTCAGCCCGAATCTCCTGATGTCCTTGGCAGTCTGTCTCACTGTCCTGTCCCTTATTTCTCATGCTGTGTGTGCAGCCCCTCAATGGACACTGTATTCTTGTCACTTACCATTGCATTTGGAACCATCGCCTCTGTGCATTTTGGGTTTTACTTATCTCACTATCTTAGATCCACCTGTTGATTTCTAAAATGGCAGCATCTTCCAGAATGACTAGGGAATAGTCTGCACAGTGACAGTGCTGTCTGTTACTCCCCTGACAAGACGAGGTGGTGGAGGAGGGCTCCAGCCTTGGCTCGGGGACCAGCTGGCTCTGTGACCTTGGGCAGATCACTTCATCTCTCTGAGCCTTGTCTCCGGGGCCCTTTCAGATCTTTAACCCTATGTCAACGCACAGGAGTGGGCTTCCCAGAAGGGGAGTGATTTTTAAATTGGTGTAGGCTTTTCTGTGAAATTGTAGCTGTTTTTATTTTAAACTTTTTCATTTAAGCTCCTGTTCCGAGTATAAAAACAGCACTAGCTACGAAAAATTCATATTTTGTGATTTATTGAGAGTATTATTATTATATCAGAAAATGGTAGGGTTTTTTTGTTCAATATTTTTTTAAAAGGCTTGCTGCATTCTTAAGTGTGATTTCATTATATCTTGGGGTGACTTTTTTCCCCCATATAGAATCGATCTGTGATTTATAACGAACCTGCACTACCAAGGCTGGCTGTGAAAGCGCTCTCGGGCGTTACATTACTCTCAAAGGATGCTCTGGCTATAGGAGCTTCCAGGTTTCCAAGCATATTGCAGAGAGGACCAAGTTGCAAAGTTCTTTCTAGAAATCAGGGTAACCTGAGAGTAGCCATGCCTTTGTCGAGCCACACATTGAGGGGTCTTAGAAAGGAAGGTGCCCTTAGGGATACACCACCCAACTCTCTTGCCATTTGGATTAGGGAAATTGAGGCCCGGAGTAGAGCAGTGACTTGCCCAGGTAAAAGGCCCAGAGGACTCCCTCCACGTCTGCCCCTTGCTCATCCCACATCCCTCGCCTGGTCCAAACCCCAGTCTCCAGTGAACATTGGTGAACATACCCAAACTCATGCCCAGGGGCAGACATTTTGTCTGTCTCATGATTTGCTTTCCAAGTGCCACACTATGGAAGGGCTGCTGCTAATTCAGCTTTCCAACCAGCATCTACTTGCCCCAGACACATTTTTTTTTTTCACCAGCTAGGCACTAATATACAGCAGAGAGTTTATTGGCATAATTTCTCGAGAAAGAGGCTGGAAGACTTAGCAAGTTCAAACTTTAACATTTTTATCGAGTCCCAAAGCGCCACCCTTTTTCCCTCCCCTCATCACCACCAACCCCAGTAAGGCTTTCTCTACCACAGGAAGTCAGGGCACACAGAGCAGAAACAGCACAGGCCAAACCAGCAGGCACATGGTACGTTATCCAATCAACGGAGCAAGCAGCCACCCAGGAGCCATCTTTGTTAAGGGCAAAATAAGCCCCTCATGACACTGGAGGATACAGAAAAGACAGGACTGTCTTGATTCTTCTGAAGGAGTGAGGGAGGCTGGATGGGGTAGAGGGGAGACTTTCCTTTTCTGTTTTCTCAGAAAACATGCAAAGAAAGGCTTCACAAACAGCTAAGGTGACACAAATATCAGTATCTCCCAACCTTCCCTGTTCAAAGATGGCCACCCCTGCTGTCCATTCAGAGGGATCACGCAGCAGGATCTACTGGGGTGTGGAGAGAGAGACAGGCAGCAGGAGAGATTTAGTTTTCCACAAAGGTTGTTAGTTTTTTTTTCCTTTATTGATGGGATTTAAAGTGCATATAACTGAAGGCAAAGTCCAAGGCTTAGAGAAAGATAGGAGGCCCGAGAGAGAGGCTCAGAGATTCTAAAGGCGGCAGAAGGATACCCACCTAAAAAGGCCACTTGAGCTGCAAAAAGGATGGGGCAGAGAGATAGAGAATGGGAAAAACAGAAAGGAGGAGGGGGTGGGGCGGGGTGCGGGGAAGCGTTTGGGAGGAAGAAGACAAACACCAGTTCAGAAATTCCGACAAAGATGAGTAGTAGGAGCTAGTTTACATGCCAGGTAGGAAAAGATGGGCTGATCGTAAGGTAGGAACGTGTGTTTTAGGAAATGTGAGAAGGGGAGAAACAAGAAGAGCAATGGCCTCTGGCCAGGACACAGCACCCCAGGGGCCCTTCAGATGGTGGCAGTAGTGATGGGGCTTCTCCAAGTCTCTGTCATGGTCTTCCTTGGAGACCCAACAGGGGTACAAGGAGATTCCATCCAGCCAGGAGAAGACAGGGGCTGGGGATCTTGATCCGGGCCCTCTGCACTGAAAGGCAACTTCCCTTGGCTACTAGACTGTAGCCGGGTCCCCACTCACCCACACAGGCTGTGCCATCCTCGTTGGGCTCGTAGCCGCGACTGCACCTCTTGTTGGTCCGGCACCTGTAGCTTCCATACGTGTTGACACACACGGGCTTGTCTCGAGGGCACACAAATGGGAACTGGATGCATTCGTTGGTGTCTGAAAGTCGAGGGGAGCCACTCACCAGGGAGGTGTGGGGCAGTGGGTCCTAGCTCAGGCTCTGCTGCCCCCCTGCCCGCTCCCCCCGCCCCCCGCTGTGACCTTGGGCATGTCCCTTCTTCTCTCTGGGCCTCAACCTCCTCACTTCAGTCCCCTTGGCTGGCTCCTGTACTTGACCTTTACATGTTGGGAGTGCTCAGAGTTTGTCCTAGGTCTTCTCTTCTACCACACTTTCTCTAGGTGGTCCCTTCATACACGGATGATTCTAGACTTCCTATCTCCAGCCGCAACCTCTCCCAGGGGCTCCAGACTCATGAATCGAACGTGCATCTCAAATTTAGTAGGTCTAAAATGGAACTCTAGATTCCCCCAGCCCTCAACCCTCTTCCACCCCCTGTTCCCATCTTCCCTAACTCAGTTAACGCCACCATCATCCACTCAGCTGCTCAAGCACGAATCGGAGTGACCCCGATTTTTCTTTTTTCCTTATCCCTGGAAGCAGTTTAACAGCAGATCCTGTCAGTTCTGCTCCACAGTACCCCTCTCGTCTGTCCACCTCCTTCTCCCTCCTGTGCCACAGCCTATTCCCAGCCAGCACCATCTCTTGCTGGATTTCTGCAGCTGCCTCCTAACTGCCCTCCTGGCTTATACTCTTCCCTCCAACCCAATCTGCAATGCAGCAGCCAGAGCGATCTTTTGAAAATGTGAATCACATCATGCCACTCTCCTGCTTAACAGCAAATGGCTCTAAGGACAAAATCCAGACAGCTGACCGGGGCCTCGAGACCCTCCTTGACTTGGCGTCTTGCTCCTCCGTCCTCTCCAGGCACATCAGCCTCCTTCCTGTTCCTTTCACACACCAAGCCTTTTTTCCTGCCTCATGGTCTTTGCTCCTGCCCTTCCCTCTCCTGGGAAAGCTCTTCCCTTAGCTGTTTCTGTGGCCGGACCTTCTTGTTCTTCAGGTCTCAACTCAAAGGTCCTCTCCCTGACTACTCCATCTAGAACAGTCTCCAGAGAGCACCTTGCTTAAAGGGTTCTTAACTCATCTCATCCAGCTGTCGGGTTGCATGTTTGTGGTCTGTCTCTCCAACTAGAACGAACGCCCCTCCAGAGCAGGCGCTTGGCTGCATCCCCAGCACCCCGCGTGGGGCCTGGTGTGTGGGAGGCACATAAATGTCTGCTGGATAATGACGAGGAAGAGGCGGCTGGACTGGGGGTATCACAGGGTCCTTCCAGCACACAGGAAGAGGCTGGAATTTCTGTGTACATGCACTGTCTATCTTGAGTGGCCAGGGTGGGGACGTGGAGAGCAGAGGGGACGAATTTCCTCCTCAAGCCAGCCCTGGAGCCATGCCCTCCACTTTCTCACCTGTTGTCCTTTGCCCACGCAGTGCCCTCCACTGAAACACTTTCTCCCCTTTCATTGCCTGGCGAACTTATCACCCTTTAGGTCTCAGCTTAGACCTTGCTTTCTCTGGGGCACCTTCCTGGCCCCCCTAGACTGGTTTAGGGCCCCACCTTTGTGCTCCCACAGCCCCAGCCCCTCCCCACCCCAGTCCTGCTCACACCTTTGTGTGCTCATTGCTGTTTACTTGTGTGCCCCTCCCATCGGCTCTAAGCTCCATGAGGGCAGGACTGCGTCTGTCCTGTTTACTCCTGTATCTCAGTAGCAAACCCATCCGCCTGGGGCTGATGAGCAGCTGCAGAGTGGACTTGGGAAGAATGCTGCCTGCTGTCTAAAGGCAGGAGGCGTCCTTGGCTTGACCCCTCACTGCGGGTCATTAGGATGGAAGACATTGGGTTGACGGTCTTGTGGGTGCTGAGCCTCTAGGCTGCCTCTCTCCCACTCCAGGCCCTTAGGGGACTTGCAGAAGGTCACTGGCCCTCACAGAGCTGCCATCCTGGCAGTGCTGCAGCTACTGCCCCCCAGTCCTGCACACGGCTGCAATCTCCCTCTGTACTGTGACCACACTCCACACCTTGGTTTGCTCCAGTGCCCCTGGCAACGCCCACTCCTGCCTGCCAACACCCTTACTCACTGCTTCACTGGCTGGCCAAGCGGAAGCCGCCAGCCCTCCACAGAAGATGAGTGCCCACCCCAGCCACCACAGCCCCCAGTAGCCGGGCCTCCCTGTGAGCACTGTCCAGGCGACTGCGTGTCTCCTTCCCTCTGTATTCACGGCAGGGAAGCGCTGCCGAGGCCAAGGACTGCAGTGATGCAGCCTGCTGGTTGCTAATGTCATTCCCACCTTGGTGAGTTGCATGGTGGTTATCTTGGCATCTGGAGCCCCAGGGACAAACAACACGTTCCCCTCCCCACCTTTCCACCCCTTGTCTGCAACCTGAGCCTTGCCAGGGCCCAGGCTGACATTTCCCAGCAAGATTCTGGCCTCTGCACCATCCCCAGGTGCCTGCAGGCAACTCACCCATGCAATGGCCATTTTCCTGCTGGGAGAATCCTTGGCCGCACTGCAAGGTGGGCAGAAGCAGAGACACTAGTGAGTTGAGAACATCCCATCTCAGATCCCCTCCTAGTCACAGCTGCAGAGCAGCTGTCGCCCTGACCCCAGCATGAGGGGTGCTCTTAGCTCTGGGCCTGGGGGGAGCCTCCTCATTGCCAGGACCCCTTCCCTGGCACTGAGAATAGGAGACCGGGGGGAAGGCCAAGAAAAGATTCAGTTCAAACTCCTGCTCATTCCCCTCACCCCCTTCTCTGAGAGCCTTCCCCACTCACAGGGTGGGCACCTGCAGGCCAGGCGACAGCCCACCTCGCTGGAAAGGGCCGACTGGCCGAGGGGTGGACATCTCAGCAGGGAGAGCGAATCAAAGGCTTTGCAGCTAGAATTTGAACTAATTGAGGCTGAGACCGAGATTTGGGAGTCTGGTCATGCCAGGCTGTGGGGGCTTTGCTATGTCTACATGGAGGTCTTGGAGACAGCAGCCTGGTGCAGGGTGGGGGGCCTCGAAACATAACACTTCACACGAGACAGAAAATGTCAACTGTCAGTTCTGACGAATGAGGGAGGGCAGGGGGGATTACTGGAAGGGCAATGTCCCCCCAAGGCCAGTGCACTAATTACAAAGGTCCTTGAGCTCCTGAGGCTGAGGACGTCGAGCTGCCATAGTTCCTGCGGATCCTGAGCTTCCCTTAGATTCTGTGAGCTCCCCTAGAAACCTCCTTGTAAGGCCCCTCTTCTCTGTGAGTTGAAGTGGGTTCCTGTTATTTGCAACCAAATGATCCCCGGCAGAGTTAGAATCCAGAGCTGTTCCTCAGCGAGCCCCCAGGGGCCCTGCACCCCCCTCAGAAGTGGCAGGAGGCTTTGTCAGGGACTTGGAAAGAGCCTGGAGGAAAGCAGGAGATCTGGGGTCAATTCTTAACTCTGCTCACAAGTGGCTGGGCAGCCCTGGTGGTTCTCTCTCTCGGTCTCAGTTTTCCTCCTCTGTAGAATGGGTGCAAAAATACTTGCCCTGCCAATACCCCAGATTTCTGTGAGGAGCAGAAGAGACGTGGGTGTGATACTGTTGTGCAAACTATGAATGGAGGGATCATTAAGAAGCCTGCCCTTTGCTGAGAAGATTTCCAGCATTTCTAAAGGTGAAGTCTGCAGATTCCTGGGAATCCAGCTTCAGCCCACAGGGTTGTGAGTGAGGGCTGCTTTTCTGGTTATGAGGCCCAGATGCCTTTCTCACCTCCAGTGGGGCTGGGTCCTGAAGTCTGTCCTCATCCCGGGGGTAGGGGATCTCCAGCACCGAGTTGATCTCCTTGCCGGCCACGCTCCGGCTCACCATCTTGCCGTCTGGCCACGTCACCTCCACGCTGCTGGCTTCATCCTTCCCTGTGGGACAGAGGAGAAAGTGTCAGCAGCAGAGGAGAACAAGGTGTGGAGGGGATTCTCAGCAAAAGTATCATCATTTAATGAAAAATATGAATCAAACACTGTCCCAAGTGCTAGGGAAACAGAGAACACAGCAGATGAGGTCCCGCTCCTTTAGAGCAACGCTGTCCAATAGAACTTTCTGCAATGATGGCAGTGTTCTGTATCTGTTTTGTCCCATATGGTAGCCATTAGCCACAAGGGTTGCTGAGCACTTGAAGTGGGACTAGTGTGACAAGGAACTGAATTCTAACTTCTATTTGATTTTAATTAGTTTACATTTAAATAGCCCCGCATGGCTACCATATTGGACAGCGCAGCTCTAGAACTCACATTCTGGCAGATAGGCCAATCAGCATGAGGCTCTTTTGGGGGAGATGGAAAGGCTCGCTGGTATGCAGGTTGACTTTGGAGATCTGGGTTCAAATCTTGGCTGTACCACTTACCTGGTGTGTTGGAAAGGGAATGGTGGGGGATGGGCGTCTGGGAGACCTGGGGACAAATCCCAGCTCTGCCGCTGGCTTGCTGTGTAATCTCTGGCATGTCACTATCTATATTTACATTTTATTTGTTTATATTATTTATTCACAGCCTGCTAGGGGTCAGGCTCTCTTTTGTCACTGGGAATGTCCCTGCTTTCCAGGAGCTTCCACTCTCGTGGAGATAGACAGGCAAACAAATGAATAAATAAATAATGTCAGATATTGACAAGCTCTGTGCAGAAAACAAAAACAGGGCAATGGAATAAAGAGGAACTGGGGGTTGGCTGGGGGCCTTTGTAGCCAGCGTGGTCAGGGACAGCCTCTCGGGGAGAGGCATTTGAGCTGAGCTCTGAAGAAAAGCCAGGATGATAAAGAATTGGAAGGTGGACGGCACAGGGGAAAGACCATTCTACAAAGCCGGGAGGTTTACAAAAGCTGATGGGGAAGCTCAGAGAATATTCACGGTCAATCCATCCACACACGTCCTTAAAGCAACACGTTACATCACTGGCAGAAGGCAGGCTGGAGAGATTTGTCAGGTGTTTCGGCATTGTCAAAGCCGCCCGCTCCCTGAGTAAGGCAACAGGCCGTCACTGTGGCAAGGCCAGGCTAATGGAGATGGATTGGGGTGAGGAGGAGTGGGGTGGTGGGCCAGAGGGGGCTCACCTGCCGGGAGAGGCCGTTCTCCTAGTCAGTCACCTGGGAAGGAGGGCAGTGCTCGGTGTGGGTAGGAGAGAGGGTGCAGCCCCCTCGTTATCACCCACCAGGGCTGACTAGACGTGGGCCCACGGAGCCAGGGGTTCCACACATCCATATACTCCCCAAGCATCATTCGTGGGCTGAATAAATAATATGTCACCCACAGGTATGTGCTACTTTCCCCTTAATGTATACAGATATTGTTAGAAAACCAGTGAAACTGAAAAGTGCTGTTGAATTTACAGTAGCTTTTGGCCATTATTGTCCATCTGTGGAATTTACAATGATAGCTACTATGGGGGCAGGGAGGGGGGTAGTCTGTGAAGCATTTTTATGTATAAAAGGGTTTCCCATATTTTAGAAAAGTGCTGGAAGCCACGTCCAGACTTGGAGTGGAGTCTGTGTGTAGACTCGTCTGTGCAGAGGTCCACTCTGGGGTGGGAGCTCAGACAGCACGGCGTGGAAGGACCCAGCTGCATCTTTCTCCTCAAGTCCCAGGATGTTAGTCTGGGGATTCCAGAGGAAGCAGCAACTTTTTTTGTGTGTGTGAGGAAGACCAGCCCTGAGCTAACATCCAATGCCAATCCTCCTCTTTTTTGCTGAGGAAGACTGGCCCTGGGCTAACATCTGTGCCCATCTTCCTCCACTTTATATGGGACGCCGCCACAGCATGGCTTGACAAGCGGCCCAGGATCCGCACCAGCGAACCCCAGGCCACCGCAGCGGAGCGCACGCCCTTAACCGCTTGAGCCACCGGGCCGGCCCCAGGAAGCAGCAACTTTTGAGCCTCCTCATCTAGCTTCCCGATCCTCCCAGTGTTTGGTTTCCTTTTGCTGCACCACACCGCCCCCCACCCCCTTGGGTCTCCAGAGAAGTCTCTGGAATGTCATTGGAATGTTCCAGCCTCGCTGCTGTGCTGCGAGTTAATGAGGGCAGGGACCAGCTCACACTCCGGAAGTGTCAAAGGTGAGCAGCCCCTGTCTCCGTGGGCACAGGAGGGCAGCAGTACCAGGGAGCAGCTCCCAGAGCAGAGACTCCCACAAGCGTTCAGGTTCTCTTCCCACAGAGACTCCCAGCTTCCAGGCCTGGCCTTCCTGGTTTGCTTTATTAAGCCAGAAAACATTACTCATAAACCCCTGTTGCCCCACTCCTTTCTTCTACAATAATTCCTTTGGGGAAGGGGGGGCGGGTAGAAATGGGATTGGGCGTGTCAACTGCGGCCTTTTTTCTGTTTTGAAGTAGTCTCTTGAGGCTCAAGAGATTTGGCATTTTTAGTGTATACAGAGCCCAAATTAAGTAGCATATGTAAATAGTAAACATTTTGCCATTAAAAAAAAGGAGACAAAGAAAAGCAAATGTTTCTCACCTAAGCCAACAGAACAGCTACATGAATACATTTTCCAGCCTGACTGAAGCGCCACAAATAACTCAAGAGTCACCGAATATTCATAGATAATCACAAATTTACATCCTGTATTTGCAGCACAGAATTGAGTCCTGCTTCCTCCCTTCCTGAGACCGGGAGGGGCAGAGGCTGTAAGTAAGCCATGGAGAGCACATCTCAGTAGGGCTCCCTCCTCTGCCACTGATTATTTTGCTGACTTGGGCATCCCCTTGGGGCTTCAGTTTCCTCATCTGTAAGATGGGGGTGCGACCTAGAATTCTAGCACTCCTGGGAAGGACAGTCTTTCTTCCTTGGAATGTGAGCCCTGCTCTGGCTGATTGTCACCCTTAGCATCCCCATCCCCATCATCTCTTAGACACGGGGGCAGCCTGTGGTCCCAAAGGGCTTTCACTTGTTGGCAATAATACTAGTGAATATGTACCCAGTGTTAGTGCACTGGATCCTCACGGCAGCTCCTTGGGGAAGGTACTAGTTTATAATTTCCATTTTAGAGATGACAGAGCTGAGACTCGGCAGGTGAAGTGAACCGCCCATCCTTACCCAGCTAGGGAACGTGTGATCCCAAAGCCCTTGTCCACTATACCCTGGTTCTACCGCCCACCTCACCCCCACCCCCAGCCTGGCCACGGGCCAAGCATCACGCAGGGATCAGGGATTTAGCAGGAAGGAGACAGCCCAGTCCCCATCCTGGAGGAGCTGAGGCCCGTGGGGGCAATGAACATAGTGATTATGTTATAATAAATGGGGAAAGTGCAGCCACAGCATTGGTACCACTTGGTGAGAGAGGCTGGTGTTACAAGTCATTTCATTTGGGTGTTGCAGGAGGAATAAGAGTTTGTGAGACAGAGAAGGGAAGGAAGGAGCATTCCAGGCAGAGAGCACAGCATGGGCAGAGGTACAGAAGTATGAAAAGGGCGCGTGTGTTTGAAGATCAGGTAGAAGTTCAGAGTGGGGAAGGAGAGTGTGCGAATGTGCATTAGGTGGGGTGGGTGGGAGAGGAGACAGGGGAGGGCCTATGGAGCATTTGCATGTGTGGCTGGCCTGAATCCCCCCTACTGGTCTGTAAGGTGGGTGTGCTACCCCCACTCTCCAGATGTAGACAGTGAGGCTTGGCAAGGTGTAGTGACTTGCAGGTGTCTGAGCTAGGACTGGCACCCAGGCTCCTGTCCCGAGGTATTCCCTCTGCCCCAGACATTTCAAGTCTTCACGCAGCACACAAGTGAGGGGGCCCGGCCCCCAGACACTGCACACGGGCAGCCTTTAAGCCAGTCTGTGTGTCCAGGAGCAGGGTCCCCAGGCAGAGGAGGCCCCATGAACCAGCACAGCCGTGAGTCAAGAGCAGCAGGGAGTCGCCTCTGGCAGCTTTTAAGGACAAAGGCCAAGGAGGCACAGAGAATTGCGCTTTTCAGAAGAATTACAAGCAAAACAGATGGTGGGAATATAGTTGGTGGAATATTTTTGCACTTTAATAAAGCAGTTTTTATGTGGGCCACTGAATTTTCCTTCCCTAAATGAGCACCAGCCAGCTTGCAGGCAGCTCTGAGTCACTTGCAAACGATTTGCTGAAAGGAAGGCTGTGTGTGTGTGTGTGTGTGTGTGTGTGTGTGTGTGTGTTGGGGAGAGAATGGGGGGTGCTCGCTGAGTAGGTGAGCCCCCTAGTCGGGGCTGGTGGGGGCAAGTAGATTATTGGTACTTGTTTTTATTTTCTGGGTTTGGATGAGCTGCCTCAGCGCTCTGCCAGCTAGGAGACGTAGAGCCGGGGTGTGGGGGACGCAGGGGTGGGTATGCGGGGGCTGGGGTGCGGGTTCTGAGTAAGCAGGGTGCAGTGGGCACTCGTCAGGGGCTAGGGGCAGAAACGCTTATTTACGAGCTGAGCCTGGTGGGCCACCTGCACCAGGAGGAGCGGGGTGAGGCCAGGGCAGGGTGGAGACGGGCCACGAACAAGGCCTGGGGCTCCACTGAGCAGGGGTGGGTGGGGTGGGGGCTGATGTCCCCAGAAGGGATAGCTCTACAGGGTGAGGCTGAGAGCCCTCTGCACAACAGAATGGGTCCTCTGGGAACCCGCTGGAGAATGAAACATCGGGTGAGGTCCCTGAGTTTTTATTGTGTGATGGGATGAAGCCCAGACCCTCAGGAGGGAGTCGGGGAGAACACGTGAGGGTCTGAGAAGCTGGGTCCTCTAACCACAGCTGCCTGCTGACCCAGCAAGGCCTGCAGCGTGCGCGTTCTGCAGCAAGTGGATGATGTGGGGACAGGAAGTGCCGAGGAGGCTGTCTGCTGAGAGGCGCACGTGTGCCCCCACATACAGGTCCATGCGCTCTCCACCCCTTGCTGCAAAGGCAGGAAGCGGCAGGGGTGACTCAGGGAGGCAGGAA